ATGCTATTTAATTTAAATAGTTTAACTATCCATTTATCTTTAACTATAATTGATAGATTTGTTTTCAAATTACCATTTTTTGCATAATTCATTATCACCATGTAAGTTAAAGTATTGGATCTTGAGTAAATCCATATAATCGAATAATACTTTCATTTGAATAAGTTTTTAACTGACTATAATAATAATAATGATGTTTCCACTAAAATAAAAATAAATTAATTTAAAAACTCTATATTTTAAAATTAAAATAATTATTAATTTATACCTCATTTAAAATTCCTTATTTAGATTTGATGATTTATCAAAACTTTTAAGAAAAGTTTTAGTTTGACTATTTCTAATCCAATTATTATCATTATATGAATATAATTTAATAAATCCATCTAACCAAGTAGCTTTATACACAGTACAAAATTCTTCATTATTAAGCTGCTCAACATTTTCAAGTTTATTAAAAGGAATCCATTCTAAAACTTGATTTTTGTTTTGAGCAATTATTCGAACATTTTAAATAAATTCATCAATAAATTTATTTTTACTAGTCCAATTTAAAAAATTTCGTTGAAATAAATCAGAATAGCAATTTATACACCATTTATATTCAGTATATTTTTTTTTACATTTCTCGCAAGTTCCTATTTTTCTAAAATTAAAATTTTACATTATTTGGTATTTTACTAATAATATAATTTTAATGAATAGATACACAAAAAAAAATAATATTTACTCAAATTTAATTGTATGTTAATAAAAATGCAAGTTAATCATAAATTTAAATATCTAAATCTTAAGTATTTATATTTATATGAAAAATAAATGTATTTTATTTATACTTACTATCTAGACCATAATTATTTTATATTATAAATGAAATTTTATTTTATTAGTAAAAAGTACAATTACTTATTTAAATCAATAAAAAAATAACATACAATATAAATTGATTACAATAAATAAAAAGAATAATTAAAATTAACTTACCGTTACTAACTAATTATTAAAATTTTTCAAAATAAGAATTTGTTAAATTAGACTGTATAAAATTTTAAATAAATATGTAGTTAATAAAAATTACTTACCGCCTAATTATTAAATATATGCATATATATATTTTAAATAAGAAAGTTATTCTGAGTTTAAATAATTACAAAGATGCACTTGGTTAATAGAAATAATTTACCATCTATATCATTAAATAAAAAAAATTTTAGTTGAGTTTAAATTTTTTTAAATTGTAAAAAATAATTAACATACCAACTAAGTTATTAATATTTTTTAAAAGAAGTAAATAAGTTTTGAATATCAATAAAAATGTCAATAATATTTATGAAAGTAATTTACCATCTGAATTATTAAAGAAAATATTTTGTTAAATTTAAATCATATTAAAAGTATTTAAAAAAAAAATTCTTTTACCATCTTACAAAGTATATTTTTTAAAAGTACAACGAGAAAAAGTAAATCATATGACCTGTAATCTGATTTTAATAGTAAAATTAAAAGAGCTTACCACAAGTATCTAAATCGTTATTTTTTTTTAATTTTAAAAACAAAAAAAAAAAAATCGGTCAAGTTAATTGCATAATATTAGATTAAACTTAATATACTTACTGCTTAAACCACTTACAATTCTATAAATAAAAAATTTCATTAAATTTAAATTAAAATAAATATGAAATGTTAACATACCATTTGCTTTCTTAGCTTTTTGTTTTTTAAAAAAAAAAAAAAATGATAAATTTGAGTAAAGGGAAAGTAAAATATAATTATCGATCAAAATAACTTACCATTTAAATAATTAATTATATATAATAAATTTAGTTTTATTTTCTTAATTATAATTAACATTTATAAAGACAACGGTAATATTAAAAATTAACTTACTTTCTACATTATTATTGATCATTGGATAAAACATTGGTTAGAATTTGAAATAAGTATTCCAAATCAATAAAAATAATATACCATCTATCATTAATGTTTCAATATTAAAAATTTTTAATTAGGTTGTAATATAAGCATAAAAAATACTGTCTAACAAATTAAATAACTTACCAACTAATAATATTATTATCAAACAAAAATTATTTTTAATAAAAATTTTAGTTTTTTAAATTGTTTAAAAAATTGTAATTAATCGAAAAAATCTTACTCCCTAATAATACCATCGATCAAATATATAAATTTTAGTTGAAATATATATAAATTACATTGAGAGAGATAAACTACTTACAATCTTTAATTTCATTTATTATTCGTAATTAAAAAATTCATTATTAAAAGAATTATAACTTGATTTTAGCATATAGACAAACGTATAATATTCACCTTCCAATTCTTTTAACGTAGAAATTTCTAATATTTAGTAATTTATTCTTAAGTTTACTCTTCTTAACAGAGTCAAATAAGCGAATTCTTTACCTTTATCAGTCATTGTTATAAAATTTCGAAAGGAAAAAAAAGACAATGGTAGTTTTTTTTCCTTGTTATAATTATGCTTTGACAAACAATGTAACTATTCAATCTACTATTATGGTATACTTTTAACTAATTTTGTTAAGTTCTGAAATTCTGGGCAGATCTAACGTAATAGGCACAAATGCGTTAATGTCCGAAATACGCAATTGGGATATCCAAAATGCGTATTTCAGACATCAATGCATTTGGGATACAACAGGTTCATGAGAACCTGAGATGCATGGTTGTCAAAATTTTTTCATAATCTTTGAATTAATAAAAAAGTAACTTTAATTTGTAGTTTGTATAATAAGTAGAAATCTGCAATTAGTAAAATTTGGTGAAGATCAACTATATAATCATATAAATTGATAAAAAAAAATTTTTGGAAATTAATAACCAATTAATACAAATCTTTATTTGTAAAAAAAATATTTAACGCAACTCATTTTTTAAGAGCTTTTATGTACAAAACGTGTGGATTTCAGTGCGAAATTTATTATAACCGAATATATGATTTCTAAATAATACCTACTTGAGCTTGAGATTTTATTACTGAAAATTACCACTAGTAGTTAATGCTTTTTCTGCTGCTTTCACCTTTATATGTGCTGAATATCTTGAGATTCACCCTCTAATTGTATTAACTTTCTGTGGTATTTTTTCTTTTGCTAAATGTCCCATTTCTGCAGCCATATGTAATTCTCTCATCATATCTTCAGCTGATAAATGTGACTTACCAGGTGTATTTACACTATGGAAATAACCTTTCAATAACTCAACAACTTCCTTTAGAATTCTTTTACTACTACCTTTTTTACCAAACTTTTGTTTTTCACATAATACCCAACCACTTTCTAATCAGAACATACAATTTCTGTTAAAAAAGGTAATTACAGTCAAACCTCGATATACCAATACAATATATAATGATATTTGCTTATACCGATAATTTTTTTTTTTCCCGTTTTACTATTAATAAAAAAACCTTGTTATATCGATATCTTATATTATTTCGCGATATAACATATACCGATATTATCTTTTAGTCACATATATAGTAACATATTAGAAAATCTGATTTATAAATTGATAAATCAATATGCTAACTATTTAAGGTTAGATCAAATGCATGATGCTCAATTTTTCTTTGTTCTTTTTTAACAATGTTGGATAAAAGAAAAATAACTCAACAACTATTTCAGCCGAGAAAACGAGTTACTTTAACAAAGCACAAAAACATCAATTTTGTTTGGACTTTCAAAAAAAACCACAACCAACCCAAAAACAACTTGTTATTCAATATGGTATTAAACAAAATACCGTTTTGGATATTTTAAGAAATAAAGGCAAATGATTACATATAGATATGAACTCAGAAGAAGGCAAAAAATAAAGGGACCGGCCTGTACAATTTTCACAAGTAGAAGAAGCTATAGCATTATGGGTTACAAATGCACTTGCAGCAGAACTTACCATTAATACTGATATTTTACACGAAAAGGCAGAATTTTTCGCCAAGTATTTTGAAACTAATAACTTTTAGCTTCTAATGGATGGATTTCTAATTTTAAAAAACGCAATAACATAAGAGAATATACTAAATTGGGAGAGGTAGCAAGTGCTCTGCTGGAAATTTTAGATGAGGAAAGACAAAAATTGCATGAAATTATTAAGGAGTATAATTTGAACAATATTTTTAATTGTGATGAAACAGGTAAATTTTTTTATTTTGTAAAAAATTTAAACTTATACATATTAAATTTTTATTTA